CTCCCGGATCCCCTCTGCGCTCTGGGCTTGTTTCTCCCCTGCTCCCTTTTCTGTTCCAAATCTCTCTCAGGAAAAAAAAAGGGGGGGGCTAGCTTCCTTTTCTACTAATCATTCTGCTTCCTCAGTCAGTACCAGATATTAGAAAAGAGTTTTTTTTTTTTTAAATTTTTCCATGGTTTATTTAACTTTATTTTATGTGCATTGGTGTAAGGGTGTCAGATCGCTGGAACTGGATTTTCAGACAGTTGTGAACTGCCATGTGGGTGCTGGGAATTGAACCCGGGTCCTCGGGAAGAGCAGTCAGCGCTCTTAACCTCTGAGCCATCTCTCCAGCCCTAGAAAAGAGTTTTTTAAAAAAAAAAAAAAATTGAGGAAGAGCCTTTAATCCCAGCACTTGCCTGCCTCCTCCGGGCTGACAGTTCATGGGATGCCTTTCCAGCTACACCTCTTGCTAAACATGGACACCTGGCTCTCCCCTTCCCCATGCCGCCCCATGGCCGCAGAAAGTAGCCAGATTTGAGTCTACGCTCTTTGTTCCCAAAGAGAGCCTACGTGTTTGTCATAATTACCATTCCAATTCTCTGTCACCCCTATAGCCAAAGAGTCTGGAAAGTTAGGTTGGGAGCGCAGGTCCCAGCACCCAGGCCTGGTCTGGACTTCAAATCCCAGCAGGCCAGGGAGGAGTCAGGACCACTCCCCAGGGTACTTAAGTGATCCCCCAAAAGAAGAACACGTGGTCTCCCTTTCTTCCTGGGGGGGGGGGTCACTTCCTGCAGCTTCATGGTTTCCCCTCAGGGCCACCTGAGAGCCCAGATCTCCCATTAAACCTGGATATTTCTTAATTTGGCTTGTTTTGATTTGGCTTGGTTGGGAATTTTTGCGTTGTCAGAGAGCTCGCTTAGGAAATATTTCTAACACCAACTGCCATTGTGAGCCTAAACAAACTGCCTTAGCTCCTTGTGAGGTCACATTTTCATCCCTGTACCAAGGTCTAGGAAGCCTACCTGTCCTGTCTTCCACTCAAGTGCCACAAGATCAAAGGACACTGATATATGGGGTGCAGTTTTGAATCAGTCTCTATCCAAAATATAATTGGGGAATCACCCCAATACATGGTCTGTCAAACGTAAGGATTTAGCTAAGAATGAAAAAAGACAACACAATCCAACATTAACAATGACCTGTGACATACTAGTTAACTACCTTGCCTAGCAAGAATAGACTATTACTATTATTTATTTATTATTTGTCTCAGTCAGGGTTTCTATTACTGTGATGAAACACCATGATGAAAAAGCAAGTTGGGGAGGAAAGGGTTTATTTGTCTTATACTTCCAAATCTTAGTCCATCATTAAAGAAGTCAGGACAGGAACTCAAACAGGGCAGGAACCTGAAGGCAGGCACTGATGCAGAGGCTATGGAGGGGTGCTGCTTACTGACTTGCTCATCATGGCTTGCTTAGCTCATGGAGGCACCACCCTTATAATAGGTCAGGTCTTCCCTAATCAATCACTAATTAAGAAAATGCCATAGAGTGGGATTTTTTTTTTTTTTTTTTTNCTGGCACACTCGCATTGCGTTTTTTGTTTTGTTTTTTTTTTTTTTTTGGTTTTTCGAGACAGGGTTTCTCTGTGGTTTTGGAGCCTGTCCTGGAACTAGCTCTTGTAGACCAGGCTGGTCTCGAACTCACAGAGATCCGCCTGCCTCTGCCTCCCGAGTGCTGGGATTAGAGTGGGATCTTATGGAGGCATTTTCTCAATTGACGTCCCCTCCTTTCAGATAACAATAGCTTTGTCAAGTTGACACAAAACTAGCCATTATATTATTATTATTACTACTATTATTACTTTGAAGTAGCTGTCCTGGAACTCCCTGTGTAGACCAGGCTGACCTCACACTCTTCCTGCCTCTGCCTCCTGAGTAATGGGGTTAAGGGTGTGTGCCACCACACTTAGCTAAAGAGACGCTGTACCCTTCTCTTTGTCTATGAGATGGTTGAAATGAGATCCCAAGAAATTGTCTCCGCAGGAATCTCCTGCTGGAGGAGGAAAAAGTCTTGAAGGCAGTCAGAAGAGGACCTTTCTCTGAGAGGAAAAAACTGTTTGAGACGGGGAACTGAGACAATCCTCTGAGGGCGACTGGTCTCGGCTGGATGGCTTGGTTGTGCTTACTTTTTAACTTCCATTTAGAGGGAAATTTGAGGATCCCACAGATGGTCTGAGGTGGGGAAGTGGCTGTATTAAATAACTCCCTTTTCTGCCTTTTGCTATTTACTTGGCCCTTTCAATTGGCAGATGGAAGACAGGTGGCCAAACCTGGCTGTTTGGGGCGCAGACTGTAACCCTCAACTCCCGTCTCACCTTTATTCCATTTTCCTATCATTTGGCTGAGGACTATAGGCTCAGTCTCAAGGTTTGGAAGACTTTCTTTTTAATTTTTATTTTATGTGTCTAGGTGTTTTGTTTGCCTCTATGTATGCCTGTGCATAACACGAGCAGGAAGTCAGAAGGGGGCGCCGGATACCCTGGACCTGGAGTTGAGCATGCTTGATAGCCTCCATGTGAATACTGAGAATGGGACCGCAATTCTCTAGACGAGCAATCAATCAGTGCTCCTAACCCGCAATAGAGGCCGCATTCTTTACCATAGGGACTATTGTAAGGAGTGATTGAATTCAACTCCTATTACAACAGATATCAGTGGAGACTTCTGGAGAGCAAGATGGAAGAGTGACTTGATTATGAATGGGAGCAGCATGAGCGATGAACTGGCTTGGTGAGATCGGGCTCCGCAAAGCAGAAGGCAAGAAAGAGGCCTGACTAAAGCTTTTGGTTAAGAAGTTGAGAGTGAAACTGGGTTTCCGGGCGGGTCTAGATCGACATACCTAGCTTGACCTTCCTTGCCAGGTAAAGGATAAAGCTAACCCTCACAGGATGCAACTCCTGGTTCGGTACACCGGGAGAGAGTCATCGCCTTGGCACGCTATAATCCCTACACACCTCGCACGCCTTCCTCAAATCAGTTGTAGGGAAAAAAAAAAAAATCAAAGCGGTCCTTATCTGCCCCTGGCGCAGGCGGCGGTCTAGAGCTGGCTGGACTCCCAGGGCGTTATCCTAGGGCGGGGCCCGCGCACCTGCCAGGCGCCAATCATAGGCCGGCGGGCAGGGGCGCAAGCGCCACTGGCCTGGGCGGGGTTTCTTTGGGCTCAATCTCCTCTCCTATTGGTAGCCTTCTGATGACGTTAAGGCAGCTTCGGCCAATGGATATGGAGCCGGTCCGCAGGGCAGGCGGAAGTAGTGCCGGCAAGGTGGCCCCGCAGTGCCGGCGCAGAGCGATACGGGGAAGCCGTGTTGTGGCTCCTGCGTCTTGGGGCCCCAGCCGAGATGCCGCGCTTCGCCTTGACCATCATCCGCCAGTGAGTAATTGCAGTCGCCGGGAGCTTCCTGGCCTGGGTCTCTGCTGGTCCCTGGGTGGTCTTCCATGTACTTTGCTTTGCGTCCTCTCAGGTCTACTTCCCTTCCTTTTATGGCACACCACCCTGAGTGAGCATGGCAGGTCTTAAGTGTCAGCAGCCTTCCGTTTTCCCGAGGACACTAGTGTGGAGAAGCACACGATCAAGGTTTCCAGCCACTGAGTGAGGACACGACCCCGTCTACCGACTTCTCGGAGTGACCTTTCTGCTCCCTAGTAGATCCAGAGTTTGCAGAATTGCTGGGCCGCGCCTCATCTTTCCGATGCTAGTTGCCTTCTCCCTCACCCTATCCCCGTTTCTCCTCGCATCGGGGGGTACTTTTGAAATTTACTAACCTTCATAGGTTACAGTTCTGAGAAAGAAGAGAAAGCCCCAGCTCTTCTCTGTCAACTGCATCACCCTGAACAATTTTTGTTTTTAATCTTGACAAATTACATAGAGCAGAGTCCGTCCTTAGGTCACCTATGGCTTTCCTTCTCAGCACGTGTTTGCACCGCGAAGGTGGGAGGCGCCTTCGGGGTGAATAGCGGGAGAGATTTTTCCAAGGCAAAGAGAAGCTGGTTGGTGTTGGGGCTCCAGCTAGGAGCAGCTTCATAGCCTAGGCATCTGAGGAGCAGAATTAATTTAATCTTTCTGACCTGTGTCTGGATGAGCAGATTGGTGAGCACAGTCTTCCTAATCTCACTGGGTTAACCACGAGAATTAAATGGAGAAGATGGAGCGCAAGGCAGCAGAGAGGAAGATAGATATCTGGGAATTAATAACTTGTTCTTCTATAAGTAAAATTTAGCTAAAATGCAGCAGATTCTCACCTTTGTAGACCAGACTTATCAGAACCGCCTTCCGGGTGAGGTCTGCATTTCTCAAGGGGCTGAGTGACCCTTTTGCCTTCTTATGGCTCATCGACGCTTACAGCATTTGAAGCTGGTCAAACGCCTTCTCGTTTTCAATGATGCCTTCTCTGTCCAGTTCCTTCTTTATAGGAAACTAATCTCGGTAGTCACGTGAAGTGGGCCTTCAGGATTCAGGCATTTCAATGACCAACTTAGAAATCTGCTTCCCTCCTCTCTTCTGCAGCATCCTCTGTGTTCTCTGGAAAGTTCTGGGAGGGTTCTTAACTTTCTTTTTTGTTTTTGTTTTTCAAGACAGGGTTTCTCTGTGGCTTTGGAGCCTGTCCTGGAACTAGCTCTGTAGACCAGGCTGGTCTCGAACTCAGAGATCCGCCTGCCTCTGCCTCCCGAGTGCTGGGATTAAAGGCTTGCGCCACCATCGCCCTGCGGTTCTTAACTTTCTTAAGGTTAAACAGCTTTATTGGGAGCACTGTAGGCATTTGAGTCCCCATTGCCCTCTTTTTTTTTTTTTTTTTTTTTTTTTTATTTTTTGAGACAGGGTTTCTCCGTAGCTTTTGGTTCCTGTCCTGGAACTAGCTCTTGTAGATCAGGCTGGCCTCGAACTCACAGAGATCCGCCTGCCTCCCGAGTGCTGGGATTAAAGGCGTGCGCCACCACCACCCGGCACCATTGCCCTCTTTTCAATCTGAGAACATTCTGGACCCAGCTGGAAAGCTCTATAGGAAATCTGGGCTGGAGAAACTGCTTGGAAAATAAGGCGACCCCCATTTAGCCTCTTCCTGGGCGGTACCTGTGTGAATAGGGAGTTTCTTACCTTGACACCTTTGATTCACGGGTGAGTAAGGGGCATCAGACCCCAAGTAATTTGCTTTAAAGTCCCTTGGCAAGTTGGCTGGGTAAGATTTGAACCAGAGCAAATTAGCCCACTGTTCTCTGCCTCTCAGTTACATTAAAGCCCAGCTAGTGTTTGATCGTCATTTGAACATCACCAGCTTCGGGGCTGCTTTTTCTCCTCCTGGTATAATTTTAAGGGGTGCTAAGAGTCGTTTTATTTGGTGGTGCTGCATGCCTGTAAATCCCAGCAGCAGGAGGCAGAGGAGTTCAAGGCCAGCCTGATCAGCACAGCAGCGCCAGGCCAGTGAGGTCTTTTCTCCAAAGGGGGCGGGTATTCTCCTTTCGACTCAGAAAGATGGACGTGTTGAAATAAAGACAGGGCTGTGATTTGCTGCCTTCGTGTCATGGCTCTCCCAGCTGGCCTCTTTCTGGAGTAGCTGTGACAGCTCGAAGCCTCGAGGTTCAAGAACAGACCTGCTTTCAGATTTGACTGGTAGTCCCCATACTTAAACATAATGACTCATGGAAGAGTTGACTAACTGCATTGAACTGTACTATAATGCGAGAGAAATTTAAAGCAATTTCCTCTTGTCTAGCCAAATCCTTCATGAAATTTTATATTTATCTTAATTTGTTATGTTTTCAATTTTTTTCTTTAATCTGTTCGTCTTATGTGTATAGGTGTTTTGTCTGAATGTATGTCTGTGCACCATGTGTGCACCTGGTGCCCACAGAGGCCAGAAGATGGTGTCAGATTCCCGGGAATTGGAGTTCTGGGCAGTTGTTAGTTAGCCTGCCATGTGGGTGCTGAGAATTGAACCTGGGTCCTCTGGAAGAGCAGCCAGTGCTCTTAGGCCCTGAGTCATCTCACCAGCTTCCAATTTTTCTTCATATTTGGAAATGGAGGTGTGTCATTTTGGGACTAGAACACCCTGGGTTCTAAACATCAGATTTGTATTGAACTATATTTGTATTGAACGTCTCATTTGTATTGAACTATAATTTCTCATGAAAGTTACAGCGCAAGGAGGCCAGTGAGTGTTCCTACATAACAGTAGAAACCAAATTTAATTTACTTCTTTTTTTTTTTCTTTCGAGACAAGGTTTCTCTGTAGCTTTGGAGCCTGTCCTGGCACTAGCTCTTGTAGACCAGGCTGGCCTCGAACTCACAGAGATCCGCCTGCCTCCGAGTGCTGGGATTAAAGGCGTGCGCCACCATCGCCAGGCTTAATTTACTTCTTGTCTTCTTTCCTCTCAAGCTAACCTTTGGAATCTGTATTTGCAAATGAATGAATTGATTGGTAAAAGGGAGTTAGGATGGAGTTGCATTCGTGATTGAGCATCAGGTGACGTCAGGCAAGACTGTAATTGCCCTTTTATGCACACGGGAGTAAATGTGTTGTGAAAACCCCAAATGCGTGCTAGCTTCCCACGACTTCTGACTTCTTTTGTGCCCAGCCGCAGCTGTCTGTTCAATCAGAACCCTTTGAAGGGATCTAACAAGAGATTAAGCAAGTAAACCTGAGCTAAGGAACTCATTTTTAAGTAAGAAAAAGTGGTTTTATTTAAGCGGGGCCTGTCCTGTGTCTTATTTGTCCCCCATCATGTCCCATGCAACACCCCTCCCCCCACCACCCACAGAGCCTATAAATGGCTGGTCATGAGACTTCAGTTCTTGGCACAAGTGTCTAGACTCCTCTGGAGCTGGGTGTTCTGTTCCGGAAATGGATCGCCCTGCAGAATTTGAAAATGAGTGCTGTATCCATGACTCCTTCCAAATACATCTGTCTGACCTTTCCACAGCCTCCGCCTCCTCTCTCCATCATAAGGCAAAGTCTGGTTCAGGAAAGTGGATCCCTGGCGAATGCTTGCCTAGCCTTGCCCACCCCCTAAAGTAGCTTTAAACACCTGCCTCCAGGATGCCAAGACCCTTTAAAGCTGCTGAAGCTTTAATATTAAATATTTACACAGGCTTTGGGGAATAGTTCTATTTGGGGATACCTGGTCTTTGAATATTTATAAAGTGGCTTCAGTGCAAAAATGCCTGCTAGAATCTAAAAGGAACCAGTTGTGTGTGTGTGTGTGTGTGTGTGTGTGTGTGTGTGTGTGTGTCGGGGCATATGCACATTTGGAGGTGGGGATACTGGAAGTGACTTTAGTAACTGAACCTGGAGTTAAGCTGGCAGCCAGCAAGTCCCCAGGATCCTGTCTCCCCCCAACCTTCCAGCACTTGGGTTACAGGCACATACCCTCCCGTTTAGTGAGTGCCAGGGTCTAAAGGCAGGTCTTTCTGCTTGCAAAACACGCGCTCTTACCCATCTCTCTCCAGCCCCAGCAGAGATCTTGATCAGCCCACAGTTAAAAGAAGTGGCTTGCTATATCACGTTTATTTTTTTTCTTTTTACTGAAAAGAAAAATTACTAGATGAGGGGCAGTGCCTTAGAGTCACTGGAAATCATTCCAGTGTGTGTTTAAAAGAGTAGCCACTGCCACCCACAATGGAAAGATCAGACTTCTGGTGCCACCTGCAAAAGTTTGGAGTGGCAAAATTAGCAAATTTCTCTCTTTATCTGCGTGTGTGTGTATGTGTGTGTGTGTATCACTCCACTTTAAAAAGATTTGATTTTTATTTTATGTGTATGGTGTTTTGTCTGTCTGAATGTCTGTGCACCGTGTGCATGCAGTCCCCACAGAGGCCAGAAGAGGGCAGTGGATCCCCTAGAACTGCAGTTACAGATGGCTATGCATCACCATGGGTTCTCAGGAAAAGGGTCAGCACTTTTAAACCAGCCACTTCTCTAGCCCCTCCACCTAATTTTTAGAGACAAGGTCTTTGGTTGATCGTGGCGCTTTCTGATTGTGCCAGACTGGCTGACCAGGTAGCCCACGAGATCCTCTTCTCTTCAGCTCCCCAGTGCTGGCATTATGGGCCCACCTAGTTTTTGTCTTCAGGTATGAAGCTGGGGTGCCCGTGTTTGTTTGGAGAGCAGTGCACTTATAATCTGAGGAATTTCCCTTGCTCCCCATCCTTGATTTTAATTGTACACAGTGAGGGTGTGTACCCTTTGACTCTTGCTGGGAGTAATCAGGAGGGTGATAGTTCTATTTAAGAGCTGTTTTATTTCTTTAGTCTTTTGAGACAGGTTTTCTGTAGCCCAGGCTGGCCTTAGAGTCAATGTGTAACTTTGAATGACCACAAACTCCTGACCCTCCAATTTCAGGCTGTGTCACCGAACCCAACTTTTGATTCTTTGAGAGAGCTTTGCTTTGTAGCCTGAGTAGCCTGGAACTCAATATATAGCCCAGGCTGGCCTTGAACTGTCTTCTTTCCTTGCCCTCCCAAGTACTGGAATTAAAGGTATTAATCTCTAGGAAGCAGATTTTTTTTTTTTTTTATCTCAGGAGGATTATTAGTCTGAGAGAAGTGACCCCAGGCCACCCTTCCTCTCTGTTGATTAGGAGCCATCCTTGACTTTGTGCTGCTGAACTCGCGGATGTCAGAGGTTAATGTCCTTTTCTGTGGACATTTCTTAAGATGCTGCAAGACTTGGATGCTAGGTACTCCTTTATTGATAGTGGTCCGTCAATAATGGCAAAACCAAGCCCTAAATAGTTCTATACGCAGTAATTTCATTTACTGTGTATAGAATCACATGCATTTTTTTTTAAATCTACATGTTTAGGAACCAAACCAGTTCTCCCTGTTCTTACTCCTCTACCCATGCGAGACCACACTGGTTATTTATTTATAGCTTAGTTACTTAGTTAATTTTGCAGTTCTAGGCATTGAAACTGAGATCTTGCATGGTAAGCAAGTGCTATAATACCACTGAGCTACATCCCTTAGTGTCGATTGCTTGCGTTGGGTGGGTTACTCAGTCTAGGGGTTTGTAACCCACCCTGCAATCAGTTATTCCAGGGTCTCGGAGGGGCGCTACCTGGAAGGGAATGAGCTAAGACAGAAGAAGGAGGCCAAGCAGATTTGTCAAAGCCTCCGTTTATTAGGGTCATGGTTGCTGCTTATATAGGCCTGGGATGAGGACTTTGAGGGGCAGGGAAACTGGATTCTTGCCGCGTGTTCCAGATCATGTGATTCAGGTTCCTCAAGTAGGCCAAGAGGTCTCGAGTTGCCACACCTGATTCCCTGGATAGCTGGAATGTGAGGAGTGTTCTGCTAACAGATTAACAGTTAATTGGGTGGGGGGCAGATTCTGTCAATAGAACATAATTATGGGTGTGAGGTTCTCTGCAGACTCCCTAGGGTGATGGTTCCTGTAATGATTTTAGGGGGGAAATGGCTGGTGACACCTTAGAAAGCAAAACAAAACCTCATTTTATTTTTGAGAGAGATAGTCACTGTGTCTCTGACAGAAACTATGTCTGACAGAAGCTATGTAGCTATGCAGTCCAGGCTGGCCTCGAACTCACAAAGTTCCACTTGCCTCTGCCTCCCAAATGCTGGGATTAAAGACGTGTGCCGCCAGGACTGGACCTCTTGCTTTTTAACTGTATCCTTTCGGTGTGTCCTGTGCATCCAGGTGTTTTCCATTTCTCTCCTCACTTTACTATTATTTCAGCCTTGCCCTTTAGTCCTTTATCGTGGAGGTTGTTCTCTTTCCACACACGTTTCGTGTTGTGTTTTTATGTATGTGAGTGTTTCTCCAGAATATATGCATGTGTCACATGTGTGTCTGATGTCTGCTGAGGTCAGAAGAGAGGGCATCGGAGCCTCTGGGACGGGTGGCGGCTGGAATGAAACCCTGGTCCTCTGCAAGAGCATGAAGTCCCTTTAGCCACTGAGCCATCTCTCCAGTCCCCCTTGAAGTCTTTTGGACAGACTCTACATTCTGTGTTTTGTTTTTTTGTTGTTGTTGTTGTTTGTTTGTTTGTTTGTTTTTTTCCTCGAGACAGGGTTTCTCTTGTAACTTTGGAGCCCCTCCTGGAACTCCCTTCGTAGACCAGGCTGGCCTCCAACTCACAGAGATCCGCCTGCCTCTGCCTCCCCAGTGCTGGGATTAAAGGCGTGCGCCACCACCGCCCAGCTCTGTGTTTGTTTTTAAGGAATGAGCTTTGTTCATGATCACTGCATGACATGGAGTCCACAGATTGACAGTGGGTGTCTTCCACTATTGCTCTCCACTGTAATTTATTTATTTATTTTTTGGTTTTCTAGACACGGTTTCTCCGTAGCTTTTGGTTCCTGTCCTGGAACTAGACCAGGCTGGCCTCGAACTCACAGAGATCCGCCTGCCTCTGCCTCCTGAGTGCTGGGATTAAAGGCCTATGCCACCACCGCCCAGCTCCACTGTAATTTTTGAGGCAAGGTCTCTTACTGACTTGGCCAGCAAGCCTCATGGGGTCCCTCTGTCCCTCACCTCTCCAGTGTGCGTGTTGCCGTGCCCAGGATTTCCATAGTGCAAGAATCCCAGTTCAGCCCTTTTGTGGTAGTCACCTTACTGGTAGACTGAGCCGGCCCCCGGCCTCATTTGGTGACTTTTATCGTAAGTCTACCTTGCCAAATAGGCTCGCTCACCTCCCTCTTCCAGCCTCAGTTTACCTAGATACTTCCTGGAAATGGTTCCAGTCTTGTGGGTCTTCTGGTTTTTGGATTGTTTTAATTTTTTTCTAAATTATTTATTTATTATATATACAATATTCTGTCTGTCTATGCCTGCAGGCCACAAGACAGCACCAGACCTTATTACAGATGGTTGTGAACCATTATGTGGTTGCTGGGAATTGAACTCAGGACCTTTGTTTTGATTTTTTAATCCCTCAGAGTGTAGCCACAAACCAGTTGGGTGCACTCTTGGCAGGCAAGGCGGCTGGAGCCCCCTCAAGGTGTGACTGTCTCAACTCTAGAACCCGGGTTAACTCTGGGTGGATGCCAAGGGTCCGGGAATTTCTTTCTCTTCCCATCTTCACACCCAGTCATGTGCTTCTTCAGGGCGGTGACCCACAGCCTGGCACCCTGGTTGCAGTCCTGTTTGAAGTCGTCTTGATCAATCAATATACTTATCTTTAACAAGGACACCTCATCAAATGAATGTGTACACACTGCCTTTTAAATAGCTTTTTCCTCCAGCAGTTCATGTAACACTGGTTTCCTGATCCGTATACATTTGCTTTCATAAGGGAATTCTTGACTTGGAATTCATGAGTTGGGGTGGATGATTGGAAAGAAAACGTTTAGATTTGGAAGTTTAAGGATTATTATGAATGTCGTTACTCTTTGTTGTCATTTTTCTTCTTTTCAGAAATAATTTGGTAATGGATTTTCTTTCTCTTTATTTTAGTGGTGAAACAAGACTTAATAAGGAGAAAATCATTCAAGGTTAGTCTTCTCTGATGGTGGCCTAATCAGATTTGGAAGGGGAGGGACCAGTGGTGGGCACTGCAAGAGCGGGAAATTGGACTGGGACTAGGGGATGAGGGTACCATGGTAACCATGGACTTTGACTGAAACAGTTGGTCACCAGGAAGAACAAACGTCCCTGAAGTGAACGCGTTACACAAGGGTTCTCCAGTCGTCCCTGCAGGTCCCTCAAAGGGACCTGGTCACCTAGGACAAAGTTGTGCTGGGTTCTTGAAATGTGCTTAAAACCAGGTGACACATGCCAGTAATCCCAGCAGGTAGGTGCTGAAGCAGGAGGATCTCTGTGAGTTTGAGGCCCCTTGGACTTCAAGGAGTTCAAGACTGGCTTTGAAAGACCCCCCAGTGCTGGGGAGACTCTCACTCAAGTCTCAAGATAACATGACAACCCTCCCTCCCCCCGTAACTCACGAGACACTGTCCTCGCTGCAATCACAGGAGGCTTTAATGATGAGATGAGACGGGAACCACAGTGCACTGGGGCCGAGACTTATAACCCACGCAGGGGAAGAGTTCAACCCCAAGTGACCGGGAGAAGGAGTTTTTAAGGGAAGAAACCACAGCCCAGTAATCCAAAAGGGTCATAGAAAATTCCAAAAATCCAGTGATGGTCACCAGGGGGCAGCTCCCTGCCTCTCAGGACCACTCCCAAGGTCATAATCAGCTAGTTCCTAAAACAGTACAATGATAATCACAAGGGGGAAACTCCCTGTTTTTTCAAGATTATTCTCAAGATTACAATCTAACTTTATCTTCAGCTAATTCCTGAAACACAGTCACTGAACCAGCTAATCCTAGATTTTTGATTCTTCCTGCTTGGATTTTTGGCTATTTTCTTCCTGCTGGGGGAGGGGGGGGTGGTTTCTGGATTTATCCAGGTCTTTCAGCTTATTCTGTAAAAAACGATTTTATATTAGGAAATATTACATTTACAGGCTAGTATTAACACTTTTCCAAACAGTTAACTGATTTCTGTACTGACAGTGAAATTCTCTATGTTTTGGGGTGGTCCTTGTCATATTGCATGCTGGGCCCTTTATGCACGAGTCTGGCCTTTTGAGGAACATCCTGGTGAACCTCTGGGCAGATGTTGTTTCTGTGCCCTGGTTGATTCTAAAAGCTTTTGGTTTTTGTGTTGGGGTAGGAAATTCTGGGCTGTGCAGAAGCTGGTTTTCCTTCTGTGTGTCTGACTCCCTTTCTGGAGACCTATGGGTTGTGTACCTAAACCACCTTTACTTCCGAGTGTAGTGCGTGCCCACCTGAGTTATCCTTGGGCCTGGGCCCCTCACCAACCTGACCCCAGCTCCTGAACATGAATAACCAGGCACCAGGTATCCCGGCCAGCGGGATACGAATGGGTGATACCTGATAAACCTAGGGAAGGAATGGAGGGGCAAGAGACGCGAGAAATGACGGCAAGACAGTGTTTCTGATCAAGCCACCACATTTAATTTTTTCTCAGAGGCTGTTAGATTGCAAAGGGACCAGCAGGGAGGGAAGGGGTGTGTCAGGTCTGTTGGAATTCAGGCCTGGAGACACCCCTAGCTGATAGGTAAATACTGAGGGTCTGTGATTGTTGACTAACAAAGGAAAATGCTAATTGTTTCTAAAAGCCTGGTGCCTGCTGGTCTCACTAGGCTAATGTCCTAGGTCCGGAACTTGCCTGCAAAGGTCTTACTTGTGAACTTGAGATGGCTGTAAACAAAATGCAGATCTTAAAATACAGGTCCTTGCTTCCGGCAGTCAGGATTGCATTCACATTCATTTCTAGGCTGTTTGTCTCCTCCTTACTTTGTAAGCTGGGTGCTGAGTTTTCTTCCCCACTCCCCTTTTTTAAAAAAACAAGCAGTCCCACATAGCCCTTATGAGGCTGGTGAGGTAGCTTAGTGGTGAAATGTGTATTGCTTTTACAGAGAACTCCAATTCGCTTCCCAGCATCCATACTGGGTGGCTCACAACCGCCTTTAACTGCAGCTCCAGGGCATCTGGTACCCTCTTCTGGCCTCTACAGGCACTGCAGTCATATGCACATGCCCAGACCCACATCATTTACAAAAACAGTAAAATGAATCTTTAAATCCAGTTTTTCTCAGGCAAGTTTGGGCACTTTTACCCTGCTAACTTTTATGTTTAATCTTTTATTTTTTCGTTTGCTGTTGCTTCCCCCTCTTTTTCTAGCCTGTCTTCTTTGCTTTACTTTTTCTTCTTTTCGACTGCATTTGTTTCTCCCTAGCCTTCTCCTACTCTCGAGCCATAGATCTTCTCATACAGACCTTTAGATTTGTTGTGACCTCTTGTGATCAGCCTAGGCTGCTGGAACAGGTTACCACAGGCTGGGTGACTCAGAAAACACTCTTTTGTTGTTTTCTTCACCCGCTTCTGAAGGTCACAAGTCCAGGCTAAGATGAGTACCTGTGCCAGCTTGTTGCCAGTATGGCACAAGCTAGAGTCATCTGGGAAGAAGCACCCGCAGTCAAGATTGCCACCCTCAGGCTGACCTCTGGGCGTGTCTGTGGGGCATTTTCTGGATTAGTGATTGATGTGCAAGGGCCCAGCTCACCATGTGTGGTACCATCATGGGGCAGGTAGGCCTGAGCTGTATAAGAAAACAGGCTGAGCAGGTCAGGAAGCAGCAGCTTTCTGTTTGTGTTCTCGTCAGCTATAGATTGCGCCTCCCCTCAGTTCCAGAAATCAGTCTGCCGCTGTCTCTTCATTATCCCCTCCACTTTCTCTCACGGTCCTCTGGAATTCAGTTAGATGTATGTTGTAGACTAATGCTTGTATCCCTCCAAATCCCTGTGTTGAAATTCTGCCCCCCCCCCCCCCCCAGTGACTATGTTACAAGGGTCATCTCTCACAAAGGAGAGGTGTCACCCCTCCTCTGGGTGATACCCCAGAGAGTTTTCCTGTTCTCCTGCAATTTGAACTTTCCCCCACTGTGTGCCCTGGCAAAGGACCTTGCCAGAAAGAACCCTGGCATGCTGGCATCTTGACACAGAAGTTGGACCTCCAGAGCAGTGAGAGATGGGTATCTTCGGGTTATAAGCCACCTCTTCTGGGGTGCCTTAAACTAGGAAGTGCATGTGGGAATTCTCTTTTTCTTCAAATCCACAGCACATCGGTGGATTGGTCCAGCTCCTCCCAGTGCCTGCGCTGCCTTCTGAGTTATGTCTTCAGTTCTGTGTTTGAGGGCCTCACATGCCCTCATACTAAATTGCTGCCCAGGGAGGGATTTTCCTCATCAATTCCTTCATTCAAAAAATTAAAAAAAAGATTTGATTCCTTAGGAGACAGTCATATTATTTTTGGTAGGTATTGTTCATCGATTATTCTCAATCTTTTTTTTTCCCTTTTTTTTTTTTTTTTTTGGTTTTTCGAGACAGGGTTTCTCTGTGGTTTTGGAGCCTGTCCTGGAACTAGCTCTTGTAGACCAGGCTGGTCTCAAACTCACAGAGGTCCGCCTGCCTCTGCCTCCCAAGTGCTGGGATTAAAGGCGTGCGCCACCACCACCCGGCCTCTCAATCTATCTTTATCTCTAATCTCTGCTGCTGATTTTAGTATCTAAAATCTTAGTGGTTCTAAAGCCCTTGGCTGTTCTTCCTGTCTTTCATTCATGATGTGTGTGAATTCACATACAGAGTGAATGCTGAATCTATGTGTTGACCTTTTGTTTGCTTTAAATGAGTGAGAGCTTATTACCCCTTATTGAGAATGATTTTCTCTGAAGGGCGGTTGTGTTTCATTTTTCTTCTTACCTGAGACTGTTAGCCTCCTCCCAGGGTCTGTTTGGCTTTCCAGCCCTCTGTTCCACACAGCAGCCCCTCCCCCGCCTGCCAGCACGTGCTGATAACATCTGTTTCCATCCTCTCCTCTGAGGTATATAGCTCAGAGGCTCGCTTCTCATCCCAGAGGCCAGCAATGAGCAACACATGCAGTTTAATTCCTTCCTTGTATTGTAGGATGGTCCTTCATCGTCTGCTGTGCTTTGCCCCTGGCTTCATAGCATTTTAATTTAAAAATTCTTTAAATTGTATTTTAGCTTTTTTTTTTTTTTAATCGAGACAGTACTATAGTCCAGGCTGGCTTATAGCTTACAATGTAGGAAGACCTCTAATCCACTGCAGTATTCCTGTCTCAGCCTCACAAGTGCTGAGGTTGTAGGTGTGAGACATCATATCTGGTTTTATACCCACCCCACCCCCACCCCCGCAAGGGTGAACTAGAAAGGAAAGGAGGGAGGAAGAGGGGTAGCGTCAGTGCTGACCCTGTAGAGAGCAGAGTGGCATCGCCACCTGATGCAGCCTGCAGGAACACAGCCTGCTTGGGCATAGCCCATCAGGTGGAGAAATGGACGGACATAGAAGAGGGAGGAGCCCAGATGGCTCAGTAGGACAGAATTCCCCTGAGACCTCGGGAAACTTCTGAGTAGGTGAGTCTTCCCTGGCATGCTGTTTAGAATCAGCTTTCTAAGAAGCCAGGTGTTCTGGTACCCAAGAAAATATAAACTCAGAGTCAGCTATTGGGGTGAAAACTGAGAGATCAGAGAAGCAGCCATTATAATTCTTACCTCTACCAATGCTCAGACCAAATCGGCGATCCTGTCCTCAGACTGCCTCCTCTGTCTGCTTTAGACTGCTGCTCAGACAGCACTGAGCTCCTGTCTCCTCCTCCTTAGTGCTGGGATTAAAGGCACTTTGTTGTGAGGAGACCACTTGTTTGTTTTGGCTGCTCAGACCCGAAATAATATCACAGAAACTGCATCAATTAAATCACTGCTTGGCCCATTAGCTCTAACTTCTTATTGGCTAACTTTTATATCTTAATTTAACCCATTCCTAGTAATCTGTGTATTGCCACGAGGCTGTGGCTGGGCTCAATAGCTTCTCCTTGACTCCACCCTCTTTCTCCCAGCATACAGCCTAGCTTTCCCCACCTAGTTCTGTTCTTCCCTGCCATAGGCTCAAAGCAGTTCTTTATTAATCAATGGTAATCACAACGTACAGAGGAGAATCCCACATCATTATTTAATTCCACATATTGGGATTAAAGGCATGAGCCAACACTGCCAGGCTCTGTTTCTCTTTAAGACTGGATCAATCTAGCATAGCCCAGGGTGGCCTTGAGCTCATAGATCCATCTGTCCATCTGTCTCTGTCTCTGGAGTCTTGGGATTAAAGGTGTGTGCCACCACTGCCTGGCATCTAGTGACTTAGCTTTGCACTCTGATCTTCAGGCAAGCTTTATTTGTTAAAACACAAACAAAATATCACTACAATACTTTTTGTTTTTGTTTTTTTGTGAGACAGGATTTCACTGTAGCTTTGGAGCCTGTCTTGGAATTAGCTATTGTAGACCAGGCTGACCTCAAACTCACAGAGATCCGCCTGCCTCTGCTTCCCCGGTGCTGGGATTAAAGGTGTGCGTCACCACCGCCTGGCTGACATACATTTTTGAATGGCTCTATCCCCCACAGGACAAGGAGTAGATGAGCCCCTTTCTGAGACTGGGTTTAAGCAAGCAGCTGCTGCTGGTCGGTTTCTGAACAACGTGCAGTTTACACACGCTTTCTCCAGTGACCTCACGAGGACTAAGCAGGTGAGTTCGGGCTAAGTGTCTAGGCTGGTAGGTCAGAAGCTTAACAACAGTGAGGTTGAAAACCCCACTTCCAGAGCCTAAGGCTCAGTAGGGGAAGTGCCTGTCAAGCCTGACGGCTCAAGTTCAATTCCTGGGACCCACGTGATAGAAGGATGTCGGGGTCCAACCTCAGCTGGGTTTGTACCTTTCAAGGTAGGGGCGTATGGATTAGAAAAGTTAGGTAGGAGGAACAGAGATAGAAACACAGAGACATAGGATAGAACCAGGAGGGCAATCCAGTGGATACTGAGCGCACCTGCATTTATTTTCCATCTCTTATATACCCCAATTCAAAAGCGGGGGAAGAAGGCAAAAGACTGCTTTAATAGGACATGGAGAGCAAACAGAACAATTACTTGCTTCAATTCTTGAAACAATAGCCACTGTATTCTGAGTTCAGCATTCTCTTGGTCAGGCAGGACATGCAGCCCCTGCATCTTAGACCAAGTGTCCTGTAGGCAGCCACGCCCTGGGTCTTGAAGGAGCTGAAATTTAGGCTTGAATTCTCTGACATTTCGTCAAGGTGGAGCGGATCCATGCTGTGGCCATCTTAATATCTAAAACAGCAACTAACTCACTAGGCCAGGATATCTTGTTTGTAGCCACTCAGACCTTTTGTCAATAACCTTGAAAGACCAAGAGTAGGCTTAAGCTCTCTGACCTTCAGTCAAGGTGGAGCAGACCCACTTCTGTGGGCCCCCACAAAGGAGCAAATTGATTCTTTTAAGTTGTCCTCTGACGGCCACGTGCCTGCCATAATGCCCACATGTCCACACACACTCTCACAAAGGGAGTGAGGTACTGAAATCAGAGACAGAACCACAGGCATATGGGGGAGAGGGGAGGTGAAGAAGAAAATGAGCAAAAACGAGCGAAAAACAGAGCACAGCCAGCCCCAGCAGTTACAGACATGGACTTTATTATTTTTGTTTCGAATCAGTGTATTTCTGTGTAGCTCAGTCAAGCCTTGAACTTACCATTCCCCTGCCTCGGTCTCCTCGTGCTCAGGGATCAAGCCTGGTTACCACACCCATCATTAGACATAGAACTTCAGATGTTACCTTATGCCTTGGTGAAAGATGAGCCGGGCGACTAAGCAGAGAACTGGAAACAAGCAAACAGGAATCAGGGGAAAGCTGGAAAACTGACAATAAATAAGGCTGAGACTTAAAAGGAATAGGCGGCCGTTTAGAGACAGCTTTCGTGGAGAGGCTGAACTGGAGTAGGAGTGAGAAGATGGCTCAGTGGATAAAGTGGATGGGCGTCTGCAGCCGACACTAGCCATCCCAGCAACTGGGGGGCGGAGAGATCCCTGGAGCAAGCTGGCTAGCTGGATAAATCAGAACTGATGAGCTCCGGGGTCAACAGGAGATCTACCTGAATAAGTAAAGTGGAACGTAATTCAGGCACACTCTCTAGGTCAACTCAGGGTTCCCGGAGCACACCAGCACAGATGTGCATACATGTGTGCATACCACACACACATACGTGAAGAGCCACAACAAAGGGCAGCATGTCTTTTCTGTAAGGAGCAGATAACAAGCCCTCTCGGTCTGACAGTCTCTGTGCTGTCTGTGACAGCTGTTTATTTCCGTTCATACCATTATGAAATGAATGCAGTTGCACAAAGCCTATCAGTAACTGCTCATGTGGCTGAGTTCTAATAAATCTTTATTTGTAAAAGCAGGTGATAGTCTGAATTGGCCCTGTGGACTCGATGTGCATAGCATGAGTCAGGCATGAAGAGAAGCCACAAGCCCTGGGTGTCATGTATTCTGGGCATGTGTTCTGCCACCGAGCTGCAGCCCCAGCCAGAGAAACAAAAAATAAACATTTGTTTTTTGCTTTTCAGACCATATGTGGCATTTTGGAGAAAAGCAAATTTTGCAAAGACATGGTGGTGAAGTATGACTGCAGACTTCGAGAAAGGGTAACTTGTTTAACCTTCTACCGTGGATTTCAGTGAGCCATCCCTTGTAAAGCACAGATACAGTCCTCTCGTGAACTTATTTTTAATTAATATATTTTTATGTATGAATGTTTTACCTGCATATATAACTATGAACCACAGGCATGCCTGGTTTTCAAGGAGACCAGAAAAGGATGTTGAATCTCCTGGGATTCAAGTTATAGACAGTTGTGAGCCGCCATGTGGGTGCTGGGAATTGAACCCTAGATCCTCTGGAAGAGCAGCCAATGCTCTTTACCACTGAGCTACCGCTCTGGCTCTTTCTTGGGAGTTTAGAATCAACTAATATATTAATGATCTGTGTAGCTAGGCATAGTGGCACACATCTGTAATCTCAGCACTTGGAAAGTGGAGGCAGGAGGGTTGTTAAGGTGAAGCCAGCCTGTGCTACATAGACCCTATCTCAAAAAAAAAAAAAAAGAAAAATCGAGATCTAGAGATAATAGCTCAGTGGTAGAGTTCTTGGCTAGAATGTTTAGGGCCCTGGGTTTAATTCTCAGCACAGAGGGAGGATCGAGGAGAGGCTGGTAGGGGTGGGGAGGGGGAGTCTACTCAACTGTCATGTCGTACTACGTGTTAAAGAGAGCACCCTATTTAACCATGTGAGCTAAGTGTCTTGAGCTACAGAAGAAGATCACTGGTAAAAACTTGCTATACTGTGGGGAAGTTTAAAGTAAAGATAATAAAGTGTTTTCCCTCTCTCCTGCCCTCACTGTGAGTGTGCGTGAGTTTGCTTTCACCAGTTTGTATACCAGAAGTGAGTCTTAAAACTGAGACTCAGCCAGGCCATGGTGGTGCACGCCTTTAATACCAGCACTCAGGAGGCAGAGGCAGGCAGATCTCTGAGTTTGAGGCCAGCCTGGTCTACAGAGTGAGTTCCAGGACAGGCACCAAAGCTAGCTACAGAGAAACCCTGTCTTGAAAAACCAAAACCAAACCAAACTAAAACAAGCAAACAGATTTAAATTCGGGCAATTTCCAATCTAAGATCTGAACCCAGGTCTCAAGGAGCGTTGGTATTTTTTATGCCCTACGATACTGACTCCAAGCTCAGCAACATCCCTCTCAGCTCTGGTTCCTTCTGATCCTGGGTAGAAAGAGAACAGAACGGTGCGAGCTTCTAAAAGACCTTCCTCTCTCAGCTTGCGTGTGTTCTCTGTGGGTCAAGGTACATCCCAAGTTCTGGAGGAGGAAGTTTCTGCTCTGTGCCTGAGAACTGGTGCTGAAAACAGTGAGGCATGATATTGGTGGGCAGGCAGGGCCTTGTGCTGCAATCTCTCCATCTTCAGAACTGGGCAGATCCCTTGTTTGTCTGGCAAAGACCCCATCATCTGCCTGGGAGGGCCTCGGGAAGTTCTTTCCCACAGACAGCTGGACAGAGCACCCAAACTTGAGAACTGCCCTGTGTTCTGGGGCGTGGGCCTCTGCAGAGTACATTCCCACCAGCAGTTCAGGGGAGATGGGATAATAAATACGTGAAGGAAGCTGGGCTCCTTCCTGGACAGTTTTCCATTTCCAAGGGCCTTTACTGTTATAGCTAAGCAGCACCTTTGTCTAACTGAACTCTTGCAGAAGTATGGGGTCGTAGAAGGCAAGCCACTGAGCGAGATGAGAGCCTTGGCCAAAGCTGCTGGGGAAGAGTGTCCCATGTTCGCTCCACCCGGAGGAGAGACACTGGAGCAGGTATGTAGCCCGCATCTAGGTTGCCACGTCGCTGGCACATCAGTGAACTGGCTAGTGACCCAGTCACTGAATTCTGACTGATTTTGTACCCTAGCTGTTTGTGATTGACAGCCAAGTGGTTTGCAGACTTTGAAGACAGCTGCCTGCCCCCCACCCCGACACCCCCATTTTCCAAGTTACCCTGTCTGCCTCACCCACTGTGAGCCAGCAGCCATCCCTGGTGATAGAAGTACTCACTCTTAGATGATACTAAGAAAAACTTAACATGAGGTGGTGGTATAGGCAGTGTTGGCACAGGCAGTGGGGGCAGGCAGTGAATCAAGGTCTACCTCTGGATCCCCAGAGGTCTGGTCTTCATGCTGTGTGGCAAGCGCTTTGTCCACTAAGGTGTTTCCTCTTCCCTCTTTCTTTTCTTTTCTTTTCTTTTCTTTTCTTTTCTTTTCTTTTCTTTTCTTTTCTTTTCTTTTCTGTTCTGTTTTTTTTTCCTCTCTCCCTCTCTCTCCTTCAATTTTATGTGCATTGGTGTTTTTGCCATGGGTGTTGCAAACCCTGGAACTATAGTTACAGACAGTTGTGAGGAGCCATGTGGGTGCTGAGAATTGAACCCGGGTCCTCTGGAAGAGCAGTCAGTGCTGTTAGCCTCTGAGCCATCTCCGGCCCCCTCCTTTTTTCTTAACGTCTTCAGCAACTAGTGATTTTTTGAAGTCCTGTAGAAGCCTTAGGGTTTTAGCGGTCAGTTGTATTTTAGGCTTGTATTTTGAGGACACCGTTAGCTTCATTTTCTTTCCTCTTGTACTTCTTTCGTTGTAGGTGAAAATACGTGCAAAGGATTTCTTCAATTTCCTTTGCCAGTACGTCTTGGACGGGACAGGTCAGAGAGAAAACTTCTTCCCCAGAGCTCCAGGCAGCTGTCTGGAGAGCAGTTTGGCAGAGGTATTCCCTGTAGGAAAACGGGACAGTTTAGAGTTGCATCCTGATGGTGGCGCCCCAGGCTTAGCAGCCAATATCTTAGTTGTGAGCCATGGAGCTTACATGAGAAGCCTCTTTGGTTACCTCATCAATGACCTCAAATGCTCATTGCCAGCAACACTAGGCAAAGTTGAACTCTCGTCCGTCACTCCCAACACTGGGATGAGTGTCTTTCTCATAGACTGCGAGGAAGGACGCGAACCAGCAATTCAGTGTATCTGCATGAACCTTCAGGAGCATCTGAACGGAAAATGCTAAGTTTAAAGCCCTTACACTGGGAAGCTTCTGAAGGGAGTGCCTTGGCCGGTTGCTTTTTTGTCCTCTGCTCCTGCTGGTTTAGAAGCAGTTAATAATTTGTGTGATGAAGCCCCACTGGGGTCCTGGCTGTATCAGGTGATCGAGGAAACCCACCCAAAGTCAACCTGTTTTTTCTGAGTACACTTGCCATTTTCGGCAGTAATTTCGCCACTCTGTTCCATGTTTCCTAATTGTTAACGTGTGAGGACATTCAGCACTGCACAGTCGGGGACTACAACCCCTCTTTCTACATCATTTCACTGACCCTTTTGATGTCTGGATGATGGTATTGCCTTTTCAAGATAATTGGATGCGTTTTCACCAGCTTATCAAGTGCTTGCAAGAAAGAATGGTTTGTGTAATTCACTGCGTATTTGCAGTGATTGTGTTACCGTCCAAAGCCCTTAAACTGCAACTTCTTATTGTCTTCAGTATGTGTAATGTAAAATGAGAAAACACTAAAGCATCTTTCATAGAAATCAGCTCTTGGGTTTTTTTTTAATTTTTTTTTTTTTTTTTTATTCTAAAGGCTTCAAAATACAGATGAAGGACTGGAGGGACGGGTCAGTGTTTAAGAGTACTTCCTGTTCTCACAGACCCCAGTTCAGATTGCCTGTTGGGCAGCTCACAACTGCCTGTAACACCAGGGAGCCAATGCCCCTGGCCTTGTGGGCACTAGCACACACACAAATAAAGATGATAAAAGAGCATACCACTTGAAGACACGTGAGGGAGCCTCTGAGCAGAAGGCAAAAGCAGTTTTCCAGGCAAACCAGGAAGAAGATAGCTTAAATTATTACAGACTTTCCAGGTGAGGGATGAGCTAAAAATAAACCCAGACTAGCATCCAGAAGAGGTTTGGGGAAAATGGTTTTCAGAAGGAACAGACGAAGTAGCCTCCTTTCCCCCAGATGGCGCTAGAGGAAAGGGATTTTGATTGCCCCTCAGGAGTCCTATCTGAGAAAATGATTCGCTGCTGAAAATGCGGGGCTCAGGTCACAGCATCAGGGAGAGGAACCAGGAGGGGAAAATGTGGTTGTAACCCTGGACCCTGCTGTCAAGAAGTCTGACTGGAAACAGCTAGCGGGACTGAGTTCTTATTGAACAGTAGATACCAAATATAAGATGCCCCAGAAAAACAAAGTTCACCTGCAAGGGATGCACCAGTCAAGGCCTGTCCCAACCTAACTGTAAAGCACCAGGTCCTTCCCCTGTTGGGACACTTTGTGGAGCTGGTGCCAACACTTTGGAGATTGGTGACCCAAAACTAAGAGTTTATTTGGGACCCCAAATGCATGTGTACCGTGACTGAAAACATTCCTAACATCGGGAGTCCAGAATGTGGTCCTGTTCCAAGAAACTCAAGGAGTAATTAAGAAGGTTGCAGAAAGTGTGCCCCGTAGGTGACAAAGAACTTCAGCTCAGAAATCATATTAACATTTGGGACAAGAATTGTCACCAGAGACTTGAGTCAAGCCCAGGCTGTGGGCTTTGGTTCTGTTCCCACTCCTGGTGGGACAGCAGGTGTGGCGAGCTGGGTTCATCCACCGTTTCACACACGGCCGACCCGAGTCCCTGATAACTCCCTGACAGTTATTTCTCTTTTACCAGGCTGTATTTTCCCATCCCTGTGTCTAGAAGATAGTGTGTTACATCTTGAACACGCTAAAAGGAATAAAAAACTATAAAAACTGACAGGAAAAATGCGCATTGGCTAAACTACCCCAAAGCAGCATCAAAGTGTTCTTTCGGCGAGAGGGAACCGAGATTCTTTGCCTTCTCAGTATTAGCCATAAAATAGGATGTTTTTCAAAAGTCATCCTTACTCCCACCCTACCGCCACAGGCTACCAGAGGTGAATTGGCACACATCTTCCTCCTGCCGAGCTATGCTCTAACCACCCCCAGCGCCTCTACTCCAACTCAGTCATATTCAGCTATTACAATTTTTTTTTTTAGCAATTTCAGGTTTATGGAAAAACCATGCAAAAAGTAGGAAGTTCACCTACTCATCCTCCCTCCAGTTTATTACCAAAGTCTTACCATAGTGTGTTTAAAAGAAGTCTGTATCTGAATCAAGTCCTACATGTCAATTTTGTTACCATGTTGATGACTGCACACATCCTATCAGGTCAGCATTTCCTTTGACATCGGCATCACAAAGACAGTTCAGTATTCACGCCATTCTTGGGTGTGCCCAGCACTACCTGAGTTTTCCGCCAGTGTGGGCCTGTCCTGAATTTGAGCACTAGAGGAGAGTGGTCTAAAAATTAGTGGGGTTCCGAGCTGTTGTGTGTTACTCTGTGGCCCTCGATTCCATCCTCAGCACTGGGGGGAAAAACCGCAAAGGGCGAGGACCCTGCTCTTTAAAGAAGAGAAATCCATCCTCAGCCAGCTCTCCAGGGCTGCCCAGGCACAGGGCGCCAAGTTACGTTCTCTGGTTCTTTCTGCTTCTCCCAGTGTGTATTGTCCTGACACCTTTCAAATGTACACAAACACCCAAATGGATTCTTCATTGACCCATATTGTTTGGAACACTGTTTGGGAACGTATGGATCTATTTAATTGTAACCACTCTTCTACTGAATAAATAAAGCACCTTTGTTTATCGTAGGTGTTTGGTCTGTTCAGTACTCTGGGAGTAGAGTCACAGGGAAGTCTTGTGGGAGGCGGTGAAACAGCCTCACTCTGAATGTCGGGTTTAGTGATGAGGACAGATGGGGCACTCACCAGCTTGCCATTTAATAGATGTCATCCCCTGACCAGGTAACCTTATTGATGTGGGAATGATTTCTTATTAATAAACTGCCTAGGCCCCTTGATAGGCCCACCCTTAGGTGGGTGGAGTAAACAACAGAATTCTGGGAGAAAGCAAGCTGAGTCAGAGAGTCGCCATGGTTCTCCCACTCCAGACAGATGCAGGTTAAGATCCTCCCTGGTAAGCCACCTCGTGGGCTACACAGAATATTAGAAATGGGTTAGAACAATATGTAAGAGCTAGCCAATAAGAAACTGGAACTTATGGGCCAGGCAGTGTTTAAATGAATACAGTTTGTGTGTTGTTATTTTGGACATAAGCTAGCCAAGTGGCCGGGGTGCTGGGGACGCAGCCCCGCCGCTCCTATTTCAACACCCTATGGTTTGGGGGTCTGTAGTTCATGGCAGGGAATGGACAGAGTGGAACTTTTGTCCTCAAGCTAGGAAGTTAAACATGAAATCAAGGTCCTGGAGTCCACCATCCTTTCAAAGACACTCCTTTTGACCTAAAGCCTCATAAAGGTCTCACTGCCTCATACTAGGGTCTTCAGAGACATTAAATCTAAACTATAGCAAACGCCAGCAACCTTTCTTGTTTTATGCAAGTGTTGCATAAACAATGTCCCATCATTATAAGGATGGCGCTTAGGTAAAGTACATTTATGAGATTCCATGTCCTTTGTCCTCATGGAGGATCTCCAAACATCCTAACAAGTAAGTCCCCAGGCTCAAAAACCAGATGAGCTGCGCTACCTGGAAGACGTGTTCTCTAGACTGGTGAGCTGCCTGCAGGCTGTGCAGTGAGCTCCATGCTTCCAGCTCTCAGGAGTCCTTACCCAGGCTGGCTTTGGCGACACAGCTGTCTAAGTCATTTCTCCTCCTGGAAGTAACCTCAGTAAACTCAGCGGTTCACCAAGCTGAACATTGATAGCATCTGTACTTTGAACTATTGTTGATTCTCCCTAACTGAAGTGAGTAGGTATTTGTCCCTGACTCCCCAGGAAAAGTGCCACCCAGGAGTCCCACTGTCACACCTCACAGGACAGTCGCACTGTGTGTGTTAGGAGCATATCCTTTTGGTTTATAGCTTAGACACACCCCTCCCTCATGTGTTGAAGGCCTGGTCCCTAGTGGTACCAGTGGGAGGTAGTAGCACCATTTAAGGGGCAGGGCTTAATGAGATGTTCTAATTTCATTGGGGATATTCAGACTAGTTGGGATCCAGACTCTTTTCCCTTGCCAGCCTGAAAGTAAGTGGTTTTGCTCTGTCATGGGCTCTTTCCACAATGTGCTGAGTTGTCTACCATAGGCATAAAAGCAGCGGTCCTCTGGGCTATGGACTAGAACTTCCAAAGGTGGCTCAGAATTGTTATCCTCATAAGTTGATCATGCCACGTATTTGTTAATAGCGATGGAAAACTAAAATGATACAATATCTGGTTAACTGAGATTTCAGTGTGGTGATGCCAGTGATTTTAGATTTTCCAAGCTAAAAATTCTTTCAAGGAATCACTTGGGTAATCAGAAACTCAATATTGATAAAATCACATCATTTTTGGTCAATTAAAATTGCTGAATATGCTTGTAAGTGGAAGAAATTTTGACTCCGAAAGTTCTTTTTCCTTTTCCCATTCTGTTTTCTCCAGATTTCCCCAAATGCCTCCCCTTTATTCTCGCATCTCAACACACACACGTAGAGAGGAGAGAAGAAGCAGAAGCTGAGAGAAATTTAATTTTTATTTAAAAATAGAAGGAAAGAAGTGGGGTTACATTTTATAAATAACTATAAATATAGAGTGATAGGCAAAGTCTTCCAAATAAATAAATAAATATTGCCACATGCGAAGGGACCTACGAAATTACAAGGTTACCTTGGCTCTGCCATAAAGAAGGCCCCATGGTGCTGGGCTAGTACGTTTACAACCAGTTGGCTACTCGAGTCCTTTCTGGGTTTTTCCCATGTAGTTGCCTCAGTGGGAGGGCCTCTTATGGCTACTGTGCAGAGAGATGCCCGCAACAGGAAATGGAAGCCAGGGAAGAAAAGAGTTGGGGTGCATGGTATCTACTGCCATGCACGGTTTTAGTGTTTTGGGGTGGGGGCTGGTTGGTCCTTCACGTTGCCTGATGTTCCTCTGATAAGCAGAAACAATGGATTCACTTCTGAGTCTGGGTACATGGAGACAGTGGAAAACGCGTCTGAATCGGCTTTGCCACTATTCTACTCTTCAGGTGCTCATTTGAATAGAGGTAGAAATGGGGCGCCCTTTGTTGAAGTCTATCACCAGCTGAGGCTCAGAAGAGAGTAGAACTTCAAAGCCTGCCTATCGCTTGCTGTTCACTGTGAGGCTATGCTCGCCCCAGGACAGCCCTGGGGTTTCTGAGACTTCTGAAAAATGTGTTCATTTAAGGCCCTAAGAGTTCCCAAGAGTAGCCTGCATTTCTGGGTTAGCCCCAGCTAGAGACCTCTCCTGCTAGCTAGACCCATGGGATCCCTTTTCACTTAGGACGGGGAAAAGAAAAGACTTCCGTTTGCTTGTTTGTTTTTCAGTCCACAGAAAGCCTAACCTAGAGCAGCCGGCATCTCAAGGACTCTTGCTCCTGTCCTGACACATTTCCACAGTTCGCCTAGAACGTATCACAACTCAATCTGCTGGCGGAGGAGGCTTTCACAAAAACGCCTCTACAGAGAGTTCGTGCATTTGCGTTTTGCAGAACACCTGGCAAGGTGGACATTCCTAAACCAGGGCGGCAGAAAAGGACGTCCTACTCAAGAGTGCTGGAAACAGAGCAGGGTCAGAACTAGTTCTGCGAATCTGGCATAGAGGCTGAACTTTGTGGAACGTGCTTCCGGTCACCGCGCGTTTGCCTCTCCTTGTCAGCCTTTTCCAGCAAGAAGAAATCAGGGTTTTCTTTCTTCAGCTTGCCCAGTGACGCCATTAAGGTGCTCAAATGCAAAAAACCCATATGGGTCCCAGCACAGTAACAAAAAGCTGTAGCGATAGCCTCTTCCCTGTGCTCAAGGTGTGAACTCTGGACCATCTTTTTTTTAATTCTAATTGACCGGTGAGAATGCTAGGCAACAGAGAGGCTAATAAAAGCCAAGTTTACCTGTTAGTTTTTTTAAAAAAAAAAGCTAAGTGTCTAGTTTACCTGATGGGATATTTATAACAGATTAACATAATAAATTACTTGTATGTGTGTGTGGGGGGGGGTGTTGTGCTTGTAAGTGCAGGTGCCCAGGCAAGCTAGAAGCATCAGATTTTCCTGGGGCTGGTAGTTATGGGTGCTGAGAACTGTCCTCTGCGTGAGCAGCACAGGATCTTAAGCTCTGAGCCATCTCTCCAGCCTCCCACTGTTGGGTCTTATTCCTAATGGTAATGCCTGGCTGGGACCTCGCAGGTGACTCTCAGGCCCAAAGGGAAGGGAGAGAAGCAGGCACCCCAACCTTCCACCTTGCACGTGGGCTGAGCCGATTGGAAGATGGAGGCTGAGGCCGCCCGGTTGGTGGCCTAGGCGAACCTGGGAAAGGGGCGGCAGCGGTCCGCGCCTCCTGCACCCCCTCGAGCATTCCCGCGGCCTCTGCGCAGAACGCCCAGTGGGTCACTGGCCGCGGGCCCGCCTTCCTCCGCGCTCTGCAGCTCCCGCGAGCAGGATACGGGCATCGGCGTGGCACGGGGCCGCGGCTTGAGCACGTTGAGCGGGTCGCGCTCGGGAGGGTCCTCAGCGCTGCGCGTGTGGCGCCGTGGTCGCGCGGTGTGGAAGCGCAGCAGGGGGACCTCGTTCCTGCGCGCCAGGAACTGCGAGAAGGGCGGCGGGTTGGTGCCAGGCTGGAAGGGGCGCTTGGCGCGGCTCAGGCTTACTAGGTAGTGATGCTGCGGCGACAGGTAGACGTCGTAGCCATTCTCCAGAGTCCACTGGCGGAACCTGCAGTTCTCCGGGCTGAAGTGATGCTGTAGGGGAAGGGAAGCACGAGGAGATGAGGATCGCTGTTCGGTTAAGGGGTACTGCTCAGCCCAGCCCCTCACCTCCCTTTTAAGAAAGGCTGTCCGAGCCCTGAACTTGGCCCTAGCTTCAGGAAAGTGGCCGCTGTAAGAACCCTGGAGGGCACTGCATGAAGGACCTTGATCTGGAGCCCAGCTTGCTGAGCTGGGCTCAGAAAGAGTTGATGACACTCCTCTTGTTCGGTGTCCGCGAGAATTCAACATTCATATTCTCATTCATAGCCATTCATTCTCTCTGTTTATGTCTCTGTCTCTCTTGACTGTCTTCAGGGGGACTAGGCTAACATTCATAGTCCCCAGCCCCTCCTCCTTTGCTCCCTGTCCGCCTTCCTGGGAACTGAATAGGGTTTCATATAGGCCAGGCAAGTGCCTTACCTCTGACCTACAGTCCCAGCCCCCTTTCTACTTTTTTCATTTTGAGGCAGAGACTCATGGAGTTGCCTGGGTTGGGCTTGAACTCTGCTGCTTCTTCAAGGAAGACCTTGAACTTTCAGTCCTCCTGCCTCAGCCAAGCAAGTAGCTTTGATGACGGCTTGGGCCACTTGGCCTGGATTGGAAGGAGGTTGTGGCTTGTCTCTGCCTAGAGACTGGAACTGGGATGGACTTTGAAGGGTCAAACATATATGAAGGTACTGACACCAAGACATAGTGTAGACTGAAGATCAGGGACTTGAACTTGCTAGCAGATAATCTGGGTTTGAACCTCATTCTCCCATTTGTACTGAGTTTTATAGAGTGTCTACCCTGACCTTTACATATTTCCCAGACTGCACAGAGAATTCTAGAGGCGAGGGCTTCCTGTGTGCATAGGTGTCTATCCACTCTGGACAGATGGTCTTGCAGGTGCTGGGAGCGCACAGCAGTAACTAAACAGAAGACTTTTACTTCCGGAACTTCGTAGTGACATTGATAAGGGATTCCTAAATCAGTTGGTCCTTCTTCGTTTCTACCTCAAAATGATTGGGACTATGCTTTAGCCTGTAGTTTTGAAAAACCTTGATTTACAGCCTGAAGGACCAGCCATCACCCTGAGGGCACAGGTAGTTAACTTTGGTGGTCCTTAGTAGGAGGGAGAGCGTCAGGTAACATGCCCCACTTCCTGTTTTCTAAGGGAAGAGACCGAAGTTGGGAGGATTGAGAAAACTTACTCAAGGTCACAGTTGGTAGCAGAACTGTGAAGACACCAAGGGTTGTTCACCTTTGCTAATGTATAAATTTAAAATACGAATTGGCATGGCTTTAGAACCTCTAACATAATAGGAACTGTGTTCCATGCAAGAATGCATACCAAGGGACAGCAAGACCAGAGGCCCAGAGCCTCATTCCAAACCCCAGCGTATAAACCTGAGCACTTCCTACTGAGACTCAGTGAAGTGCTTAGTGAAAGCAAGTAGTGACCAAGGAATACTCTAAATGGAATCTCTAAAGTTCGAAATATTAACCCCCTGATGAGAAATACAGTAAGGGCTGGAGAGATGGCTTGGCGATTAGCAGTGCGGGCATGCTCCTTTCCCAGAGCTCAGTTCCCACACAGACATGGGATTTTAGAATTCACATCCTAGAGAAAGAGATAAAGTCATTATAAACTGGACCAACACAAAAAGAAACTCACCGATCCAAAAATGTTGCCTCTGAGATCCATACAAAGGAACCTTCTAGTTGCGGCTCCTGTTATGACCACGAAGCCGGCATCCTCTGATCTGATCATCAGGGCACCTGCAAGAAAAAACTCTCAGGTCAAAATATGCAGTCACCCCTCCCTGGAAATGCTTTCTGAAAACACCCCCTCCCCATGACACCTCTCTGTCGGGATGACATCACACAGCTCTCCAGGTCTGCCCCTCTCATTTCCGGTGACCCCCACATCAATGCATTTCCTCGCCTCCTGCTTTATTGTCCTCCCAAACGGGGCACCTTGACTTTCCAATGTCCCCCATCCACGCAGCACACAGATTTCCCTCCATCTGGATGCTACTTCCCTCTTTGCCTGGTTATTATCTTTTAGAGTTCTGGGCAGCAGTTGAGCCCTTCTAAGATGGCTGCTTCTGTGATTTCTGTGTTGAGATGTTATTCAGTGACCCAGCTTGTATAAAGCCCAGGTCCCGCTCACTCCCCATCCCAATCTGTATGCTCAGAGATGGTCTCTTATCCCTACCTGCTGAAGTTGCCTCCTTCAAAGTCAGCTGTAGCCGTCTCTGTTTCTTACCTCCCTGACCAGTATTGCTCTTCAGTATAGGACCCCTGTTGTTACTACAGCATGCCCCCTTCTGGCTCTATCATATCTGCACGCCTAAAACCTTTCCCAGAGAAGCAGAGACATCCTCCCCCCCCCCTCAGAAAACATTTAATAGACATCAGGGATGACAGAATTTGCTTCTTGGACCTAGCCCTTTGTGCTTTTCTCACTTGAAGATGCTTTCTCTTTGTGGATGCTGGTCTTGAACAACTTTCAATAAGCTCACTTAAAAACTTGCTTTTGATTACGGCCTACAGTATGCGTGTATCAGCTGCACCTTAAACAATGGGTTGATACCTCGAAAGGGGTATTCCATAATAAAGGCAATATTAAGCCACATTGTGTTGGAAACTGAATGGGGATTCAGCAAGTCTTGACATTTTCTGTTGATAGCAATTCCCTTAGATCTTTAAGGACACTTTTAACTGCCTGCTGCGGAACTTCACCTCACGGCTCCAAGGAGGCTGCGCAGACAGGACTTCTAATCCTGCTTCAGGAAACAGTCTGTGCCTAGTGTGTGATAGAACATCATGGGATGCTCTGAAGCCAAGGCCTCTTTCCCACCCTGGGAGGCTCAGAACAAACACCCGCAATGGGAGTGAGCAGGCAAAGGTCAGCTACCTCCTAACTACAGAGCCTGGAACACGCTGAAGCTGGCATGATGTGGACAGAGGGGATGAAGGCAGACAGGAGCCCAGGGAGGTGACAGCAGAAGAGGACCAATCAGCAAAATTTGTTTGTTTTAAATGGTGCAAAATCGGGTTGCAGGTAAGCCAAGTGGGAGATGCACATGTGTTCTTTCAAAATGATGCCTGACGGTGTGTCTCAGATGTATAGCCCCCACAGGGAAAGTGATGAAATGCCACGGGGACCTACAAAAGGTGATGAAATTGCCCATGAGGGATTCTGGTCCCAATGTGGCTCCTTAAGAACCTGTGGCCTTGGGAATTGCCTCAGAAGCAGTCTTCACTGTGACCTGAGCATAGCATAGCCGTTCCTGCCTGCTTGGTAGGGGTCCCACCAATCAGGAGGGATAATGCTTTGCAAGAGCGACTTGGCGGCTGACCACTTCCGCACCCTGACACCTTGTCAGCCTGCCTGGTGGTGGGAGGCACTGCAGGCAGTGAGCACAGTACCCTCACTCTAGGGACAGTCCTGATGGAAAGCACACTGCAGGGTGAGTGGCTACCAGAGGGGGCACTTTCGAATGAAGCCAACAGCAGTCAACAAGCACATGCTAAGCCGCACACTGAAGGAAAGGAATGGGCTATTAAGCAAGGGTGACAAGCAACTCTTTCCTGCCATTTCCAAAAAGTGAGCTTAATGGGGAGTGGGACGCTGGCCTTGTTCATATTAGAAAAAGCTTACCAACCCCGGGGAGGCCCCAAGGTTCTGAGTTCAGGGGAGCTTGGGCGCCTTTGGGGCAGATCATCCCATCTTGTTAAGACCAATAACCTAAACAGGAGTTGGACACTCAACTCTTAACCAAGAACTTACTACAGCAAAACTTTACATTGAGACAGTAGAAACTGCTGCCTCGTTTTGTCTCCTCAAAGATGTGATGAGAGGCCCTGACCTCCAGGGGCACTGACCACACGTGGTTCAAAGAGGTACATGCAAAGAAGATCGTCATACATGTGAAATAAAATAAGATTGGAATAAAGCCAAGTTTTGCTGTAAATAGCTAATTAATTAAGGGGATGATTATATTAATAATATGTAAAGATAAGAACAAGATAAAGATAAAGTCTGTTTTCAGGGAAATTCACATAGCTGGTTAGTACTTCAGGTCCAGGTCCCCACCCCGCAAAAAGTAAAGCTTATACAAGATAAAATCACACACAAAAGCTGAAGTCAGGTCAGTTCATTGTACTGCCCCTCAGCCACCACGTCCATTGCTCCAGGCTTCCTCTAGCCCCTGTGTCTGTCAGCACCCGAGGAAAAAGGCCTGCCATTCAGACTGCTTTCAAAGCAGGCTGACACCATACATCCTCCCCCTAGCCAGCCTGGACTGTTCCAGAGTGACTTCTTGGTCTCTGCAGAGGCCCTCCAGCAAAGGAATTCTATGATTCTATGCGTTCTCTATTTATAAGCAAATTTCCAATCTCTGAAACCGAAATAGTTTATCCTTATGCCCTGCCCAGTGTTTGAAATCACTTGCGGTCTTACAGCGGAAGTCGGGGCAGTCTTCCAGGGGAGGAGCCCAGTGGTGCTTCCTAAAAGTTTGATAGTGCGCTGGGAAATGAGAAGTCAATGAACTATGTCACTTGCAGTGACAGGGGCCGGGTGGTCAGGCACCTTGGAGGTCCAGTTTCACAGAGCACAAGCAGTGCTGGGGACCCATGAAGTGTACCCGGATTTATTGCAGGTTCTCCCCATCAGGCCCTGACCTCCAAGAGGGAACTCTAGGGTCCTGCTTTACCCCCTTGAGTTCTGGACGATGCTTGGTATTTGGAGAGAGCCTTTCTCCTCCTCACCTCACCTTGAACAGGTGTAAGCTGCTGGCTTTGTGTGTGCCTGTATCTGGCTGCTAGATTTAAGGTCTATTGATCATAGCAGAGAGAACATCATGCATGCAGCAAGGCCACATCCAGAAACCGCCTTCACCCATTACAACAGCAGAGGATAACATACTCCCATCGAAAGTTCTTCAGTGAAATGCAGATCGTTACTACTCTGAATGCTCTAAGTGAACCCAGTTACATCCTCTCAACTCCTCCAGGAACTTTTTAGATTTTGGCTTGTATTTCACATGCCTGGCTGTCTTGTCTTCACGCCTGTGCACCACATGTGTGTAGGTTTGGGTTTTTCTCTCATGTGTCTTGCTGTCTGGTCTGCGTGTATGTCTGGGCACCGCATTTCTGCAGTGCCATTGGAGGTCAGAAGAGGGCATTGGATCTCCTGGAGCTGGAGTTATGGATCGCTGTAAGCCACTACTCGGTGCTGGACTGAACCCGGCTCCTCTGCAAGAGCAGCAAGTGCTCTCAGCTGCTGAGCCACCTTTCCAGTCCTCCTTGGAATACTTCTTACATGACTGCTAAAATAGAAACCATGTTTGCCAATACCCATCTCTCATCTCTCTATTTTCTATATATCAGCCCTTATGCTTGAAGGGGCTCTCATTTTAATACATGTAGTTGATTGACATTTATGGCTTGTGATCCAAATTTCCATAGACTCTATTTCTAAGAATATTCCAGGTGTTTCACAGCACCAGGGAGTTCACAACCAGTTCAGTTTGTTAGCAACTAAGCACATTTCAACTTCCCAGAGAACCACCAACTCCTACAGAGAGCACCCAGCATACCCGCTGGATAGATGCATACAGTCAGACTTGTCAAGGAAACATATCTTAGTGGTCTCTCTGTAACACATGTCCCTTGAGGAGATTTTGTTTTGAAACAGAGTCTCGCTTTGCAGCCCTGCCTAGTCTGGAGCCCACTATGTAGACCAGGTTGGCCCTGCATTGTATTAAGGATGTGCTCGGCTCTTGAGAATGCATCCTAGTCAGAATACTAGAACTCAGAGTTGAAGAGTCCCTGTTTCATCTATTTTAGATCTTGGGGTCCTGGGATCTCCCCCACTGTCTCCCACGGTTACATTTCATCATCTGTGGTTCTGTCTGGGTTATTCTCTTTGAGTCTTGTCTTTCTATCCATTTTCCCTCCGATTCCTAGACAGAAGGAAAGAAAACTGTTTCGTGTCATTGGCAGTGATTATTTGGGTTGAGAAAAACCTGTAAGTCCAATTGAGGAGGAGGAGGAGGAAAAACATCTTCCTTTTAGGTTCCTCTCTCTCTCTCTCTCTCTCTCTCTCTCTCTCTCTCTCTCTCACACACACACACACACACACACACACACACACACAGAGAGAGAGAGAGAGAGAGAGACCACCGTGCACCAAGAATCTAGAAAATTAGCTTCTCCCTCTCATCTAGCTCCAGACTTCCCCTGCACCCCTCGAGGTCAACAACAGGACAACAGGTAGCCTCCCCTCTTCCCATCCTGGACCCAGTACTCACTGTAGATGGTCTGGTGGGGTGTGCCATCTACATGGCCATCCTTGTGGATCTGTAGGTGATAGCTGTTCCTGGCTGTAGCCGTGTACAGGTGAGTCAGGCTGCCCCAGTTGGAGCCAAGCAGAGGGGAGGTGTCAGGGTAGGCTCCAACAGTGCCCAGGCTGCAGGCACCACACAGAGCACCCACCAGGAGTCTGAGGCAGGTCCCCAGCATCGCACTGCTCTCTGAGTGGCTAATGCTGAGTTTGAAATCTGACACTCGCAGACGGGGCCGGGACCTTTGCTGGCCTTCTTCTCTTCCTAGGAAGAAACCGAGAAGTGGAGTGGGGATCCTGGATTCCCTCCTTTGGGCCCCGGGACTTTTAAAGGGTAGTGGTATGACATCAAACAGGAAAAACAGCGCTGCCACATCCTCTGTGTTGTAATCGGCCTTTTGAAGAAAAAGCCCAGGCTCCTTAGGCTTGCGGAAGGCACGTCGGTTCCAGGCACACACATACAGGCATGCACACGCCCCTCAATTTCAAGCCAGTGCTCCCAAAAGTGAAGAGCGCGTGGGCAAAAGTTATCTATGACCGTGGGTCATCCGTTGACCTGTCCCACTTCCATCAGGAAATGTGAAGGCAGCCAACAGTCTTTAAAAAAAATAGCAACACACCAGACACCCGCCTCCTCAGCAGCTCACCTCCCTTCAGTGGACTGAGTTTGGTTTGCTGAGACCTTTTACCTCCAGCTGCCAAGAATGTGCCGAGCTACTCCTGGATGCTGCATTAGGCAGGTGTCTTGAATGATACGGAGATATATGGTTCCATCACACAAGTGAGACCCCCCCCCCCACATACCTCACGGTGGGTTGTTAGGTAGGAACAAGAGCTCACCACCCCCATTCCCATTTGCAAAGACTTCAAGACAAGAAGAAAGAAAATAAGGTCTTGAGGTCAGCAAAAATGGCAAGGGCTGGCTTCTCAGTTTCCCTCGTTTGGATGATGCAGGGACCTAAACTGGCAATTATGGCTTTGCCAATAGGAAGGAGACTCATTTGGAGGATTGGAACGACACTGCTGGCTAAGCAGAGGGGTCTGAGGACAGGAAGCATCTAGGAGCTGAAGGATGGCATCTCCATGGCCGGGATCTGCACACCGGGACCTGGTTGTGTGAGTGGATGCCTCGTGGCAGACAATGCTCTCCACACACCCTCTGCAGAGGTGCATCCGATGCAGGGGTCGGGGAGTTAGGGGCGTGTGCTAGGACTAACACATAGTCCGTTGGAGGGCAGGCTGCTGTAACAGACACCAGAAAGGCAAGACCACAAGGAAAGAGCTGCTCACTCAACTATCCCAGTTTACTGAGTGCCTACCATGGAGAGTTATACCATATAGGACATCAAAATTCACATAAGAGAGCAAGATGGGACCAATCCAGCCAAGAAAGCAGGTAAAGACAGGTAACCATGGTGTAAAGCACTGGTTGAGGCAAGTGGAGATGCCAGTCTTACCTCCAAAAGAGCAGAGGAGGGCAGACTGGACGCTGGCTCGCCTAAGCCCTTAGAATACTGCATTAACTCCCACAGCCCATCGGAGCCAAAGTTATGTGACCTACCTCTGGGTAAGAAAGAACAGGTAGTGAAGAGATCACTTTTCCCCTCTAGCAACCCAAGCTTTCTTTCTCCCAGGCTATATCTTCAGGGAACATGTGCTTGTCACTCACTCCAAGGTTGGTAGAAGTTGCCTGACATTTAATTGTTCATGTCTGAGTCTTCTTTAATAATGACCACAAGGGGGTGGTGGCACACGCCTGTGTTCCAGTGTTTTGGAGATAGAGGCAGGAGGACCAGGAGTTTAAGGTCAGGAGGTTGGAGGCCAGCCTGGGCTACGTGAGATCCTGTCTCAAATGCCTACTAAATGCCTCCAGCTCCTGGCGCTATCAGACTTGGGTTGTTCTCAGCATTGGTTAGAGAAGCTTTACTCTGCAGTGGGCAGCAGCCGATGCAGACTCTGGTCAACATACAACGAGCAAGGGACTGAGAGCTCAGCCCTAAATTGGACACCAGTATCAGCATCCACCTCCATGAAGGCACAGATAATGTCACAGAAGAAAAGGTGGAATGACTTCAAAGCTGGAGGAAGGGGAGGAGTGCTGGGATATGCTGTCTCCTGGGCCATACAGCTGTTGTATCCACAGAGCCCCAGCAACTGTGGTTGCCTGTACAAGGTCAAACCAACCAAACCCTCAGCATAGACAGAACGGATAGATTTCCAGGCCTCAACCCTTACTGAGGAGAAACTGTTGGCAGGAAATCTTTGCTGGGGGAAGAATGGTCATTCTTTTCTGGATGTGGTCACTGGTAGGTTTCCCATGCTCCAGGGAATGGTCCCATATCAGTACACATAAGACCACTCTAACTGCACCTGATGAGTTATTGAGGGAAGAGATATGATACTAAGTTGGGAGGGTACATGTTGAGAGAGATAAGGAGAGTTTGAGGGGGGTGATGCGGTAGATATGATCATAGCCCATTGTATACATGTATCAAATTATCAAAAATAAAAATTTAAAAAAGAAAATCCCAACAACAATAACAATAGCAGTCACAAAACAGTTCATAACTGATTGAAGGAATAACTGGCTTTCAGCATTGAAATGCCATTTCCTCAGAAACATTTACTGATTGCTTATCCCATGATTCCTCTTCTTGTTAGGAATGGCAAAAGCCTATGGAGTTCCTGGGAGCCAATTCATGGCTACTGAGACTCTTCTCTGAGAAAAGAGGTGAGAAGGAGGGAATTTGAAGAACAAAGCACAAAACAAATATTCTTCAAGGCATCTGATACCACTGCAAAGGGCTTTGCTCATTTCCCAAGCTCTGTGGGAGTACCAAATTAGCAAGATGTGGAAGAAATGCTAAGGGCATTCCCAGAAGCAAGGCCTTCGGAGGAGTGGTGCAGCCCTCCAATTCAGAAGGAAGGGGAGAGTTAAAGAAGCTTTGTGGGAGCAACAGGAGAGGCTGTCACCCACCATGGCTGGCTGGGTTTCTGGAGAGACAGCGGGAATAGAGCTCTGGATCTTTCCACTTGTCTTACAAGGAAGTGATGCCCTCAGACTTTCCCTCAAAGAGAGGCTGTGGACACTCAGCAGCCGGATCGAAAGGCAGGAGCCTTGTTTCTGCAGGGTGGGAGAGTCACGTTCCCCACTCGACAAGAGTGGAGGATGCAAGGCTCTCCAAATAGCTCTTTGCATTTCGCAGTTGTGGAAATGCTGAGAACGAAGATGAAGTTTTTCCTATCGGAACAGGGTGGAGGCGATGTTTCCAGCTCCCGGGTGCCCTTCCAGCTGGAGGACCCTGTGGGATTCCCAGAAGAACTTTAAAACCCAAACATCCTAGGATTGATCTGACGTTATCACTGCTGAAGCAGGACGGGTCAGGACGGGAGATTCACCATCTGTGCTTTGTTCAAAAGAACTTGGAATATTCGGATACTCAAGTGTTTATCAACAAATGGGCTGGGAGCCCTGACATGCACTAGATTTAGTACAGAGAGACTAAGGGTCCCTTTGCAGGCCTGCTCCACATCCCACTGCCTTCTAGAATGATGCAGCTGGCTGGAGAGTGTCTGTGTGCAGGCTCACAGCCTTTCCTTAGAGCCTGGAGGGTGGTGGAAGGTGAGCCTTTGAAGCAGCCCTGCAGCATGCTGATTTTGAGTCCTTGCATCTAGAGGGCACTGCTCTGTCACAGTTCAGGATCTGAGAACCAGTGTGAGCTTCTGAGCTCAAAGTGAAGCACAGATACCCGATGTGAACAGGAAAATCGTGGGGTTTTTGTTTCATTTTTTTATTTGTTTGTTTTGGGATGCTAGATGTTGATTTCCAAGAGATGCCTGGATGTGGCAGAAGGGTTGGTCCCATCTCTATCCTGCCCTAGAAGCCCTGGGTCTGGCCTCAAGAGCAAGTATTCTTTTTATTTATTTATTTAATTATTTATTTATTTATTACGTATACAATACTCTGTCTTGTGTGTATGTCTGCAGGCCAGAAGAGGGCACCAGACCTCATTACAGATGGTTGTGAGCCACCATGTGGTTGCTGGGAATTGAACTCAGAATCTTTGAAAGAGCAGGCAATGCTCTTAACCACTGAGCCATCTCTCCAGCCCCAGGAGCAAGTATTCTTAACTGCTGAGCCATCTCTCCAGCCCCAGGAGCAAGTATTCTTAACTGCTGAGCCATCTCTCCAGCCTGACTTGAGACATTTTTTAATGAGAATAAAAAAATTAGTAAAAATACAATTCACTCCTGTTAATCTAGACATACCTAGGCTCTAATGACACAGATTTCAGCTGCAAATGGTAAGAAAAATGCCCCCAAAGCTGCCACAGCCCCCAAAGTGGCAGAAAACTGCCATTCTAATTTAGTACAGAGTGTCTCTAACTGACTTCATATGAGGCCAGATAATCCAAATGATGAAGAGTTATAAATATCTTACGAAAAAAATCAAACCCTATCAAAACGATTTAAAATATTTAAATGCAGAAATCTCAGTTTTCCTGCCAGGTCAGAAACGATCACACACAAAATCATCGTCACAGTCACACACACACACACACACACACACACACACACACACACACGAAAAGAGTGGGACGTTTAACTTGACACAAGTTAGCATTATTTGGGAAGAGGGAACTTCAATTGAGAAAATGCCTCCATCAGATTGCCTGTAGGCAAGTCATTTTCTTGAACAATGATTGATGGGGGAGAGTGCAGCCAACAGGCGTCAGTTCCTGCCTCCAGGTTCCTCATTTGCATTCCCGCCCAGACTTCACTGGATGACGGCCTGTGATGTGGCAGTGTAAGATGAAAGAAGTTCTTTCCTCCTTAAGCCACAGGGTTTTTAATCACAGCAATAGAAACCCTGACTAAGACATCTTCTATGATGGAACTCTTTTTTGGTCCTTACTTCTCTTCACCTTTAACTTGTTTTTCTCAGACTGGGTCATGTCTTCTCTCAATGTAAAGACATCATAATAATTTAAAAAATGACAGCATTGGCTTGACTGCCCATGGGCTGTGATGGAAGGGCTAGAAGAAGCAAGATGAAATAAATCCTGAGAGACAGAGAGAGGAGGGGTCCATAGTGGCTCATCTGCTGATGGCAGGACTTGACATCCTGTCTGTCACTTCCTTGTGGTTCTTTTCCCATCGCAAGCATCATGGGTTGTCAGTGCTCCAGTGATTAGCGCACTCAGTCCCTGGATCCAGGCTGATGCACAACTAAGCCAACCTGGACACGTGCTTGTTCTTCGGGTCCTTGAAGTTCTCAAGGGAGAGGC